AGAACAAAAAAATCCAAAAAAAAGACAAAAAAGGACCAAAAATTACCTAATTTGTTTGCCGCATCTGTCCACAATCCAATAGTGGCTATCAAAGGGACTTAAAACATCAAAAAAAAGCCAAAAAAAGAAATTAAAAAGCCAAAAAAAGAGAAATAATTACCCAGTTTCTTTGCCACATTTATTTATAATCCAATTGTCCATAAAAAGAACTAAAAAGAACAAAAAAATCCAAAAAAAAGACAAAAAAGGACCAAAAATTACCTAATTTGTTTGCCACATCTGTCCACAATCCAGTAGTGGGTATCAAAGGGGGCCTCCGCCCCCGCCCACTGCCTCAGAGCGGCCTTCCAGCTGCTGCTGCTGCTGCTGCTGCTGCTGCTGCTGCTGCTGCTGCTGCTGCTGCTGCTGCGGGCGTTTGCGAAGTGCAGCAGCCGCGCAGCTTTGCACGACTTTTCGTGCAAAGCTTCGAACTGCCCGATTTGCTGCCAACACTTTTCGTTCACTGCGTTGTGCAGCAGCAGCAGCTGCGGGGCCCACTGGGGCCCCACATGCTGCTGCTGCTGCTGCTGCTGCTGCTGCTGCGGGCGTTTGCGAAGTGCAGCAGCCGCGCAGCTTTGCACGACTTTTCGTGCAAAGCTTCGAACTGCCCGATTTGCTGCCAACACTTTTCGTTCACTGCGTTGTGCAGCAGCAGCAGCTGCGGGGCCCACTGGGGCCCCACACTGTGCCCTTTGCGCCCCAAGGCCTGCACGCAGCACCCGCTGGCTAGCTGGCTAGCTAGCTAGCTGGCTAGCTGGCTAGCTGGCTAGCTGGCTGGCTAGCTAGCACTTTTCGTTCACTGCGTTGTGCAGCAGCAGCAGCTGCGGGGCCCACTGGGGCCCCACACTGTGCCCTTTGCGCCCCAAGGCCTGCACGCAGCACCAGCTAGCTAGCTGGCTAGCTGGCTAGCTGGCTAGCTGGATGGCTAGCTGGCTAGCTGGATGGCTAGCTGGCTAGGGAGCTGGCTAGCTGGCTGGCTAGCTGGCTAGCTGGCTAGCTGGCTAGCTGGCTAGCTGGCCAGCTAGCTGGCCAGCTAGCTGGCTAGCTAGCTGGTTAGGGGGCTGGCTAGCTGGCTAGCTGGCTAGCTAGCTGGCTAGCTGGCTGGCTAGCTGGCTGGCTAGCTGGCTAGCTGGCTGGCTAGGGAGCTGGGCGCTCGTGTGTGGCTAGCTCGCGAGGGAACTTGCTAGCTAGCTGGCTGGCTGGCTAGCTGGCTAGCTAGGTTTCTTGATTGCTAAGCATGCAGACGCGTGGCTAGCTAGCTAGGCAGCTAGCCAGCTAGCTAGCTGGCTAGCTAGCTGGCTAGCTAGATGGCTAGCTAGATGGCTAGCTAGCTAGCTAGCTAGCCAGCTGCGCATGCAAAAGCCCAAAGCAGCTTCCTTTAACTGCTCTAAGAGCTTCACTTCCGCGGTTTCGCAGCTCTCCTAAACCCTTTTTCGTGGTTTTGCGGCGGTTTAGGGTTTGCGCAAGGGTTATTATTTATTCTATTTATTTATTTATTTATTTATTTATTTATTTATTTTATTTATTTATTTAATTTATTTATTTAATTTATTTATTTTTATTTATTGCTCTCTAGTTTTCCTTTATTTTTGATTTATGTATTATATGCGCTCCGCTGGTTACCTAAGGCACTCTTCTGCTGCTGCTGCTGCTGCTGCTGCTGCTGCTGCTGCTGCTGCTGCTGCTGCTAGTGCTGCATTTTTAATAGTGCATCTGCTGCTGGTACTTGAGTTCCTGCTGCTGCTGCTGCTGCTGCGGCTCTCCCTGCAAGTGCTACGCTACAACTGCTGCTGCTACTCGTGCTGCTGCTGCTGCTGCTGCTGCTGCTACTCGTGCTGCTGCTGCTGCTGCTGCTGCTGCTACTCGTGCTGCTGCTGCTGCTGCTGCTGAGCTCGCCTGCGTAATTTATTTCGCGGAATGGAGCTGCAGCTGCTGCTGCTGAGAAGCCCTCTGTGCTGCTGCAGGCAGCAAATAAATAAAAAGATTTAAAATTAAAAAAAGTTTTATTATTTTACAAATTAATTTAAATTAAAAATAATAAAATCGAAACAAACGCAGCCAGCAGCAGCAGCAGCAGCTGCTGCTGCAGCAGCAGCTGCCACTGCTGTGGCAGCGGCTCCAGCATGCACAGGGGGGCCCCCAGGGGGCCCCCTGCTATGGGGCCCCCGGCTGCTGCTGCTGCTGCTGCTGCTGCTGCTGCTGTGTGCAGCAGCAAAAGCAAGAATGAGTTTGCTGCAGCAGCAAAAAAGGAAAATAAAAAAGCAAATATGAATAAGCAGCTGCTGCTGGGGGCTGGGGTGTACACGCAGCTGCCCAGTGGCTTGTCTTTGAGTTTTGTTTTCAATTAAAATTAAAATTCGAAAATAAATACCATTAAACAGCATTTGCAGCAGAAGCAGCAGCAGAAACGTCAGCAGCAGCAGCAGCAGCAGCAGCAGCAGCAGCGTCGGCGGCAGCAGCG